CCGAGGCCACACACTGGCCCTCTCTGCACGGGTGTCTTGAATGACTGAGATCTCTGTTGAGTTCTGCGCGTTACAGGTGGCGAACACCGGCTCTGTGCCTCTCAAAGTGGCCCATAGTTTTAGCCACGAGGCCCCGTGAAATGCGTTGCTCTGCGGGGTTTCGGGGATGCCTCCAGACCTCTGGGTGGCTCCCCAACCGCTTCGCCTCCGTGTGGGCCGGGCGGGACGGGGAGCAGCCCAGGATCAGACTGATAAAAGAATTAGCGAAAGACTCTCGTGGCTGTTACTCGATTGTGTATTGAAGGATGGAGCCCGTGTCCAGCAAGCAGTCGAAGAAACCCATCCTCCCTCAATGTAGCTCCATGCCTAAAATAGGTCCACAATAAATACTTGATTTGAGAAGGATCTGTTTTAATAGGAAGGTCCTTTCCTCAGGTCCAAGTATGAGGAATTTGCCTAATATTGGTAGGAGTGACTTCATCACTTTAATTCCTTGTTTAACAGTTTTTGCTCTTTCTCTGATACAGAAAGTGACTGTTCCTGTTGAAGCCTTGAGCAGTGATCTAGCAGGTGTGTAAAGCTGGTCGTGCTTCTGTGCCCCTTGGTTCATTTCATACGCAGGAAGAGGAGCCTTACTGAGATTGCTGTTACCATACCTGCCTGTCACCTTGCTAAGGTTGGTTGTTGTGTGAGTGTTTTGTCATATGCCGTCATGGAGGCCAAGGTGGAGGGAAAGGAAATGGGGGCAGATGCTGAGGCCCCAGAGGTCACAGTTAGAGAAGGCTAATATTGCTGAAGTGCTACGACTGAGGGGGCACTGCCCTGTCCCCTAGATTACAGTGAGCCAAATGTCTAGTTTGAGAGCAAGGAGATATTTCTCCTCTTGGTGTTAATAATCAGTGCATCCTGACAAAGACCCCAGTTTGTTACCAGTAGCCAGTTCTTCAGGAATCCAGATCATTTTCCATATTCCCACTTATAGAGAGGCCACTCTCCTCCCTTAGTCCCCCAGTCTGCCAAGAATGATTGTCAGTTATGCGTGAACTATCTGCCTGCTTAGGATCCAATTTTTTTTGAGGTGACAGGTATCCATGATGTCCAGTTCTCCTTTGATAATATATAAGTCTTGTGCTGCCCTTTTCCTGAGGCAGGCAAGGTGAGATGAAAGACTTAGAGTTGGCCAAACTGGCTAGGCAGCTGCTGCACATACACTATTGGTGATAACTGAGGAAGGTCAGGACATTGTGTTGCATTTTGAGTTTCTACCATTATAGGAACGAGGTCTAGTACTGTAAGCCCCCAGACCCAACCTGTGTCTGAGACCTAAGCAAAGCCTGAGCATTTTAGCTAAGACCATCCACGAAGTTGCCACCTTCTAGCCTCTGCCCTTTGATAAGCTGACCCAAGTCCCAGTAACTTCATTGTCAGAAACAGATGCCACCACTTATAGTGGTGCTGCTGCCTTTGAGACACTGAGAATCCAGCCCCAAGACTCCTGCACGGTTCCCTTCTTTCCATCCAGTGGCGTGGGTAGTAAGAGATAAGCACTGGCTAAAGCAGCTTGTTTATTCAGAATAAATTCACAGCTGCTTAAAGATTTTAAAAATCTTTTTTTTCTCGACAGAAACATAACTGAGTGATGAAATCAGTTTTCTTTTTCAATTTTTTTTTTCCAGAGCTGAGGCTTTAAAGACCTCAGGGACTGCTTTCAGTACTCACAGAAACCACTTACACCCTGGTGATGGCACAGAGGGACTGTTTTCTTACTCTTCATCTGAAAGACTGTCAAGAAGGAAGGCAAAGATAGAGCAATTGGATCTCTGACTCTCCTTGTAGCCTCTGATCTCAGACCTTATTAAACCCGTTTCTGAGCCCAAGGACAAAGATCAATTGAACAAATGATTTTGAGTCATGAATGAAAAATCTTGCTCTTTCCATAATGAGAAGGAATTAAGAGATGGACAGGTAAGCAAGCGCTCCCACGTGGGAAAGAAGGTGATGGTTTGGGATATATCATTAATAATAATAAGACAGTATATATCAAGGGAATGTGCAGCTTTAGAAATATTTAGGAAAAACCCTCATTATAGTTCTCTTTGTTCTGTTTGAAGGAGCTTCTATCCACCTCTGGGTCAAATTGCCTTTCCTGATAGCTTGTTTTCTAAGTGGGTTATAGGATTTTGTTTTGGATTTGCTTAGGAAGGAGAGAGAGTGGCAATGAGGAATCACCCAAGAAATCTGTACTTCATTGATTTGGATCGTTTACCTTATTGGCCTCTTCCCTGGGAAATACTTGCTGTGGCCTGATCATTCTCAGGACTCAGTTCATTGTGACATGTTGTATTAGTCTGTTTTGTGTTGCTATAACAGAAATACGTGAAACTGGGTAATTTATAAGTAAAAGAGGTTTATTTGGCTTACAATTCTGGGACGGCTGCATCTGGCATGGGCCTCAGGCTGCTTCTACTCATGGCAGAAAGTGGCAGGCAGCCAGCGGGTACAAGCAGATCACATGGAGAGAGGAGGCAAGAGAGAGAGAGGGGAGGTGCCAGGGCGTCTTTAAACAACCAGCTCTCATGGGAACTAATAGAACGAGAACTCAGTCATTACACCCCCTTCCCCAGGGAGAGCATTAATCCTTTCATGAGGGATCCACCCACATGACCAAAACTGCCACATTGGGAATCAGATTTCCACATGAGTTTTGGTGGGGACAACACATCCAAACTCCATCACATGTCTTTGTATGAGCCTGGCAGCTGACCCTATATTCCTTACCTTTCACCCTACCTTGCCTGCCCAGAAATGAAATGTAGCCTATGGGATTTGGTGGCCATGTGGGGACAAATCCTTTACTCTGGGACTCCAGGAAGGTTTTCTTCACTGTAGTAAGACAGGCGAACTATTCTTCCAGAGGGAAGTCTTTGGACACTGGAGTGGACTGAATTGGAGAAAGACAGGAAAATTGAAATTAATCATGGGTATACAGACTCCTGTGGCGAGTTGTTTAGTTCCATGAATCAAAAAAATATTTGTGAGATAAAATTTCAGTAAAATTGGGGGCCGGCCTGTGGCTCACTCCGGAGAGTGTGGTGCTGATAACACCAAGGCCACGGGTTCGGATCCCTATATAGGGATGGCCAGTTCGCTCACTGGCTGAGCGTGGTGCTGACAACACCAAACCAAGGGTTGAGATCCCCTTACCAGTCATCTTTCAAAAAAAAAATNCCACCCACATGACCAAAACTGCCACATTGGGAATCAGGTTTCCACATGAGTTTTGGTGGGGACAACACATCCAAACTCCATCACATGTCTTTGTATGAGCCTGGCAGCTGACCCTATATTCCTTACCTTTCACCCTACCTTGCCTGCCCAGAAATGAAATGTAGCCTATGGGATTTGGTGGCCATGTGGGGACAAATCCTTTACTCTGGGACTCCAGGAAGGTTTTCTTCACTGTAGTAAGACAGGCGAACTATTCTTCCAGAGGGAAGTCTTTGGACACTGGAGTGGACTGAATTGGAGAAAGACAGGAAAATTGAAATTAATCATGGGTATACAGACTCCTGTGGCGAGTTGTTTAGTTCCATGAATCAAAAAAATATTTGTGAGATAAAATTTCAGTAAAATTGGGGGCCGGCCCGTGGCTCACTCCGGAGAGTGTGGTGCTGATAACACCAAGGCCACGGGTTCGGATCCCTATATAGGGATGGCCGGTTCGCTCACTGGCTGAGCGTGGTGCTGACAACACCAAACCAAGGGTTGAGATCCCCTTACCAGTCATCTTTCAAAAAAAAAATAATAATAAATAAATAAAAATAAAATTTCAGTAAAATTTTGAGACAAATATTTGGCGCCTCATACTATGCTAATGGATGTGGGAACACATCCTTTTATTCTTATAAAAGGAATATAAGAGAAGGTCCCTATGCAGGCCTTTTGCAGAGGAACTTGTGCTACAGACAAGGGCTATAGAACTTAGAGAAGTGGGACACCATTGTGGCCCCAGGTGGAAAGAAACGCCACCTTGCGGAGGTGGAACTGATCTTGAAGGAACTGGAGGACACAGAGATGGGCAGGGGGTAGTTATTCTGGAGGAAAACCATATGAATCAAGGGATAGAGGAGAGGAGAGGAACACAAGTGTGTTCATTGGATTGCAGTGGGAGATAATAGTGCTTAGGCATCATGAGGCCAGTTATGGGGGGAGTTTGCTCAGCTGCGGTGTGTTTTAGCCTCCATTCTTGCATCCGGGATGTAAAGATATCACAGGTGTGATTAAGGAGCATTAGTTGGCAAAAATATGCAGGAGGGATTAGAGTCACAGGATGACCTGGGATTCCAGGGCCTTGGCATAAGCAATGATTTCTTTATTGTTATTTTCTTTTAATTATTATTTTTTCTTTTATTTATTTTAGAGAAAATAACATAGTCACATGGTTCAAAATCCAAACAGTACAGATGGATATACATATAGTGAAAAAACTGCCTTTCACCCTTGTTCCCCAGCCACCCAGTTTGCCTGCTGGAGGCAAAGTTATACTTTCTTGGTTATAACTCTGGAAATAGTCTTTGCAGAGACAAGCAAATACATTTATGTATTTTTTAAAAATACAATGGTAAAATAGCTTTTTCACTTAATAGATCGTGAACGTTGTCCCATATCGCCACTGAAGCATTCTCTCATTCTTTTTTATGGCTCTCTACTCAGTGGATATGCTTTAATTTGTTTAATCAGTCCATTAGTGGGTATTTAGGGTCTTCCCAGCCTTTTGCTATTATACACAATGTGGCAATGAATAGTAGTGTAAGTGTAAACATGTTATTTTGCACATAGATGAGTGTATCTATTAAATATGTTACTAGAATACATTTGCAGGCCCAAAATGTACAAAACATGCATGATTTCGTCAGGTATCGTCAAGCCATAGAGATGGTAACAATCTATTCTTCATTATATTGTAACACTGGGCACTCTGGCTAACGTAGTATGTCACCAAACTTTTTTTTTTTTTTTTTTTTTTTTT